GCGCGCCGGCCCGGTCCGCGCTCCCCTCTGGTCGTGTGCGCTCCTGCTGCTCCCCTCGGCTTGTTTGTTCCCAGCTCGCTCTGCCCGTGTGTGTGTGTGTGTGTGCGTGTGTGTGTGCGTGTGTGTGTGTGTGCGCTCTCTCTCTCTCTCTCTCTCTGGACGGCTGTGTGTGGTTCTTGTTTGATTCCTGGCAGCCGTCTGTGGCCCGGCTCTGAACTGAGCCAGCTCAAACCCAGCGGAGACAGCCGCTCTCCTCCCCCGCTGTACAGCCGCTGGCCTCTGACCATCAGCCTCCCCTGGCCCGACACCCCCGCCCCTCCCCCCCCCCCCCTCCCTCCCTCCCTCCCCCCTGAAACATTTGCTCTGTTTGTTTCTCTTTTTCTCTCTTGACGCTCCCCTCCTCCTCCTCCTCCTCCTTCTCTCTCTCTTCTCTTTCTCTCTCTTTTTTTTTTTAACTGCTCTTTATCCATTTTTCTGCTGTAGTCTCCAAGGGCAATTGTATTTGCCTCGTTGCCTGTCCCCAGAGCTCTGGCTCTTGAATAACAGGCTTCGCTTCTCTCCCCTCTCCGCAGATTATTTTGCTGACCTTCAGGGCCGCTCGGATGACGACCCAGGGCTTTATTGGGAATTCTATGGCAGCGCTGTGTGCGGTGAGTACTGATCAGCACTCTGTGTGTGTGTGTGTGTGTGTGTGTCCGTCCTCTGGTGCTTACGCAGTCTTTATTTTTAAACCTCGCCAGTGTCGGTGCGTCCCCTTCTCCTAACCGGATAATGGCGACTCTCGCTAATAAAAATGCCTTTTTCTTTTTCCTTCCTCAGAGTCTCACGAAGAGGGCGGCTTCTTCGACATCCTGGCAGACCCCCCGGGCCCCGACGACGAGGACGAGGAGGACAAGAGGGAGGTGTTTGAGTTCGAGTTCTCCGACCGACCTCTGCTGCCCTGCTACAACATCCAGGTGTCCCTCTCACAGGGGTGAGCTTTGATGTCTCCAGCCGGCATTTAGTTAGTTTTTTTTTTTTTTTTTTTGCTGGGGGGTGGCGTTCCAGCACGACCTCATTCCTTAACTATTTTTTTTCTCCCCCCCTGGTCAGACCGAGAAACTGGCTGCTGCTGTCGGACGTGCTCCAGCGGCTGCGCATGTCCGCCCGCGCCTTCCGGCAGGCCTTCCCCCACATGGAGGTGGTGACGGTGGCCGAGGCGGAGTTCTACCGGCAGGCGTCCCTGTCGCAGCTCTTCTCCTGCCCGGAGGAGCTGGAGGGCTTCCACCCGGACAGCAAGGAGCTGCTGGACCTGGTGGAGGACAGCGCCGAGCTGGCCGCGCTGCTGGGCTCAACACTGGAGTGTCTGGACGACCGCTGGGACCACCCAGGGGACAAACTTAAAGACAAGATCAAGGCGGTTTGCAAGTTGGCTTCGTCCTGACCCTTTGACCCCGCCGAACCCTGACCTCCTCCCC